AGACAGTCAGGTAATCGTCGTGCTAAAGTCCCATAGAACCAACACACCAGAGTAGTAACCATCGCTGATGTCGAGAGTTGTAGAACAGAAGGATCAAACCTGTAAACACCCGAACGGAGAAGAACAAAACCGGATCCACCCAATACCAGCACCGACCGAACCCCGCAAGATCCGGTGGAGACACACCTCCACACACACTCTCCGACGATGCTAGACGCACCATCGGGACGAGATAGAATGTGAGACACATTATTCCTACTACTAAAGGATATCGCCGCGGTCACACATATGCAATATGCAAGTTGAACACTACTACTACGCAATGACAACGAGCTGGCATTTTCACACTTTTCGTCCATTTTTCAACAAATATGAGTGGATGGTAACTTCTGGTAGTACAGATCACACTCACACAGATCTTTTTAGAGATCTTTGGGGTCAGTTCCTTTCTGGAGGGAGACCTATCGTTTCCGCCGTGAATTGAAGTGAAGCGATTGGTGTGGAGCCCGGGGCATCGATGCCCTTAATTATCTAGGTACGTGGTACGCGCTACAGTCAAAAGCTAGGCAGCGATTCGATTCCCGCGATCCGGCGCGTACCTTCCCGATCGGGTGATGGCAACCGCGACGCGTGGGTCGCTTTCTACCGGCCGCCCATGCTTTTTCACTACTTTGTAGATTGCACTAACGTGTACACGGCCGGTCGATCTTCTCATGATTTCTACCAAAGGTTGGCCGACCACATGGAACTAAAATACGGTTGCTCCTCCTACTGTCATCGCATGGACACACGCGCAAGATCTCTTTGCATGTTAGCAACACGATCTAGGTAAGGTAGGTTGTTGCTTCGTTTATTCAATTTTTGGTGTGGAAGGTTGCTTCATTTTGTTATTGTTATAATCAGTAAAACTCCATTGCAATGTTACGCAACTTGAGCCGCAATGTTGTCAATCAATGCAACAGCCCCACAAGGGAAGCGCGGCAAGAAGAACACGTAGGTGTGGCTGTGCTTGACTTGATCGGTACTCGCACAAACGCTCGTGAGAAATGTGCTTCGAATATCAACGCAAAGATTTTGGTGCCTCCGCGTGACCAATGAGGTTAGCCAGTCAAGCAATTAATACCGTGAGCAAGAGCAAGCAAAGGTCGGTCGGTCGGCCGATCCATCTCGATGAACATTTTCAACGTTGCAGATGGTCTCGATAGCTACGGTAGGACGACTGCCTCCGATGGCACACCCTGGCCGGGCTGCCGTGCCCCCAGATAGATGGACCGGGCCATGCACGGACGGTCAAACAACATGATTACATGAACCACGCACGCAACGGGCTGCGTTACGGCGTCCGTCTAACCACCGCAGCTTGAGTTTCACTTTTGCGCGTTGATAATTTTGTGTGAGCTCCACGCGAATAGTTGTAGGGCGCAAAACGATCTTATACCATAACAATCTAGCTAGCTATAGCTAGGTGGGCAGGTTGCCTCGCTTATTTATTTTGGCATACGTCGGAAGGTTGCTTCATTTGTTAAATCAATGAATCTTGATTAGTAGTACCATGTTCACGCAACACATGTTACATTATCACAGCTGCAGCGTTAATCAACGCCGCAAGCCCCACACGAAGGAGAAAAATGCAGCAACAAAGACGCTTGTTCAAGCAAAAAGCGCTTGGAGGAATATCAACAAAAGCAATTCTGCCTACCTGGCCGCGTGCGTACGTGACTTTTAAGTTTTAACAGGTCAATCAATCAACCGATCGATCAATACCGCGAACCGGACCAAGCAAGCGTCGGTCGGTCCGCGGCCCCATCCACCCATGAACAATTTCAAAGCTGCCGATCCATGGCTCGACAGGCGCCGTGCGATTGTCGCCGGTGGCAGCGGCTCGCCGTACGCAACGGGTTCAGGGCGGTACGGGTTGAGCTCGTGCCTGCCTGACGACCACAACTTTAGCTTACCTCTGTCCGAAAAATCTGTACAGGCTGCAGTAAAAGCTCCACGTGAAATCGTACTACGGCGCAGTCGAGTTGATGATGCCGTCAAGCTGAGGCTCAACTCTCAGTGCCCCGTCGCCGTCAGCCCCTGCTAGCAGCTGCCTAGAACAGTCGCCGGACTTGACCCGCACCCATCAGGCGTCGTCGGATGCTACGCGCAACGGAGAAATCCCCGACATGGATTTCAAGGCGCGACGGCGACGCGCCACCGGCCACCAGCCATCCGCCGTCCGGCGTCCGGCGGCGTCCACAGCACGAATTTACTGTCCGCGGTCTCTTCTCATTACTGGTACCGCTGCTGCTGCCTTGCAGTCCAGGCGGGCGGGAGGAAGGTGCAGACGGCAGATGAAAAGTTGAGAGAGGTAACCTGATCCACCCGGAGACCCACCGGCACTGGTCGATCGGGATTCGGGAGTGTGGCACACGCGTCCTGGCCTGCTTGGTTGCTCAGCCCTATAAAACCACCCCATATGCCATCTCCGGTTCTCCACACCACCATTCAGAGGAACCACACCGACACCCCATCCACTTTATCTCAGTTGAGAGGTTTAGAAGCGGTGAAGCACAGGTGCAGCAAGAGCTGCGAGAGGAAGGAGCGAGCAGCAATGGCGAGGCACAGCCTCCTTGCCGTGCTCCTCGTCGGGCTGGTCGCGGCCTCTGGTTTCAGCCAGGCCGCCGCCGCTGGTCGGGGCCTCGCCGAGAAGCTCCCCGAGCCGGAGCCCAAGCCGATGCCGTACCCGGAGCCCAAGCCGGAACCCAAGCCAGAGCCAATGCCTAAGCCTGAACCCATGCCAAAGCCAGAGCCTAAGCCTCTGCCTAAGCCTGAACCCATGCCAAAACCAGAGCCTAAGCCTCTGCCCAAACCTGAACCCATGCCAAAGCCAGAGCCCAAACCGGAGCCGAAGCCGGAGCCGATGCCAAAGCCCGAACCAAAGCCTGAGCCCAAGCCTGACCCGATG